CGACGGGCTTGATGGGTTTCAACGGGTTTCAACGGGCCATTCACCTAAACGGGCTGAAGCCTTCAACCGGCCCGTTTTCAGGCCCGGGTCCGGTTCAACCGGTTCAACCGGCCGGGCCGGGCCGGGTTCGGTTCAAAAACATTGGTTAAAAGCAAGGAAGTCAAAATGAAGAAACAAAAGAAGTTTTCAAGAAAAAGGTCGCGAGAGATACGATAGAAGATGTTAACGTTTAGTACCAGCCTTCTCAAGCCATCTCCAGAATTAGGAACATAGGCACTTAGCAAATAAAATGTATTAAATTCAGCCGTCACCAGACAACCTTCACTATCATGATCTGATATGCCCAGGCCATATTTGACTGAAAGCGGCTTTATCTGTCGACAACTTCTAATATTTAACAGAACAATAAGAACAAACAAAGCTATCATTTCAAAGAATCAAAAGATACTTAAATTCTCCTAAAGAGAATGTGCATACCCGGGATATAATTGCTGTACCAGAATAGCCCAGTTTGGAAACACTGCATGTCCAGAAGCTATTCTCATATCCCTCTAAAAGAGAGTGTTTGATTGACTCAACATCTTTCTCCTGTTCCAAGATTAAAAAATTCACTCAATATATAGATAAAAATGGCAACCCTCAAATGTTTACTATCTTTTGACGAATCATAACCACACACACGCACACACTTGCAGGTGTGCACATGTACAGTATCTAAAGACAATTCAGTACCATATGCATGTGCATCCAAATTCAATCAAGTGCTGGGCTAGTAAAAGAAAAAAATTTTGGTGCTTATGCTACAGTCTTCAAATAAGACAAATAATTAAAAACTGAATAGAAAATATCACTTTATTTTAACCAAATTAAGAATGAATGCCATGGTTAAATTTAAGAAACAAAAAGCTAACATGCTACTGAAATATTATATATTGCCTGCAGTTTAGTTTCCTGTAAGCACAATGCATCAAAGTTTTCCCTTTTAGCATGCTCAAGAGCAGGGAACCCCTCTAACTTCAGCAGCGCTCTCAGCCTGTTCACCTTCCAAGACATTAGCTTCATACATTTAGTATCTACCGTAAGTGGTGGAGGCCTCATGATTTGCAGATTATAGGCTATCTACCCTTTCTGAGCCTTCTTGTGGGAAAAAATTGTCCATGGTTCACTTTGACTCATTGGAACATTAACTCTATCATTAGCATCTTTGCCATCAATAACCAAAGATGCTTTCCTGATTGCTTGAGAAGGCTTCCTTTCTACCAGCATTTACCAAAATAACCCATCTTACTTTAATTATTAGAAAAATTAAACCCCTCAAACTGATAACCTCAACCACATTTCAAGGGAAAGTAGAAAGTTCCTAAATGATTAGTGATAGCAAATGAGCATACTATTGCTGCAATAAAGATACTTAAGGCACCTGAAACATTACCCTTGATTGAAAGCTTCTTTCCTTTCCTGACAATTTTAGCATCAAGTTCACCTGATAATGTCCCAGTCTTTCCTGACACTGAGATGCTTTGAGCAGAAATGGAGGAAAGTTGTTCATCTCCCAAATGAGAACTTTCACCTACATGCTCAAAGAATATCCATTCTTAGGAAATGAACAACTTACCATTGAACTCAAAGAGGTTCTCAGAAACAAGGAAGTGAAGAAAGAAATCAGAAAACTGGTAGCAATCATTTCAATTATTAAAGTTGATTTTCTTATCTTTCTCCATCTCAGCAGCTAAAAGCCAAAGCTTAATGGAACACTGAAAGAATTAATAAAACTTGATCCCAAAATTAAATTTGCCTACCTTCTAATTGCTTATCCAAATAACTCTTCAAGGCAGATACAAGGTCACTCTTGCAACCTTTGGCAGGGAGGCCAGCAATCCTGAGAATTTAAAATCATAATATCAAATCAAATTCATCTGGACAAAAACAATCCTTGAGAGTAGTTTACATTGCAAAGCACTGCATGACAAACAAGGAACTAATCCAACTAGTTAAAGCAGTTACATGCATAATGTTTTATTGCACAGCTTCTTTTGTGGTTTATTCTCTTTATCATCAATGGCCTTAAAGAATTTAGGATATGTGCACAGTGCACTACTTTTGCTCATGAAATGATACATTAAAGCTAAAAACTAATGATACGAGAACACAAACAACTAAAACAGAATCCATACATCTCTTTTTTTGTTTATCCTCAAAATTTGTACATACCACAATGCATCCTTGAGTTGTTGAACTGTCATTGCGTTGATTCTGCCAGGATCATTTATGATATCCTGAATTTCACAGGCACTACATTTAAACCACATTCTTATAAAAGCATGAAAGCAGAAAATTTTTGATATGGCAATTATAAGTGATATCATCAACAACCTTAAAAACACCCACTTTGGAATCACGATTGGTACCCACCAAACCTTGGTCTTTATTATCATTCTTGCCCTGCATAACCACTTTACCTTTCCCACCGTTCCCCTACAATCCACCAAAACCCGAAACAATAAATACCACACACCATCCAAAAACCTACAAGCATATAAAATCAAAAGTGAGGTTAGTGGAAGTAACCAAAGCAATCAACAACCTTAACTTCACCCTCATCAGAATTTAGGTCTGCAGTAGCTAATCCCTTGAGCTTCTTATCTGCTTTTCCCTCAATAGTTAATGAAGCCGACACGGATGAGTTTGAAAGGAGCCTCTTAGACTTAGACCCCATTACTACGACTGTCAAAGGGGAAAATGCCCTAATTCTCAAACTCCTTGCTTTTACTGCTGTTGGGATTGGGCCCAACATTCAATCTAGAGTCGTGTCCAACAGGCCCAGTCACACATCCACCAGACCCTAATTGAGGAGACATACCAATGACATGTGGGCCAAGGGGATGCACGCGTGTAGACTCATGTTAGTATATGGGGCTATAAATACACCCAATTACCTTCATGTAAGGTATTAACTCCATTACGCTTCTCTCTCTGCAATTACTCTCTGTGAGCTTTTCTTTCTAGAATACTGAGTATTGCTAACTTGAGTGTCGGAGTGTTTTCCTCGAGGAAACGTCCTCAGGAATTTCAGGTGTTGAAGCAGTCAAAGGTACCAACAGTGTTGCATCGCGAAGCTGCCCAAAAGCGTCGTCTGTGGGAACCTAAACAAAAAAGCACCGTGATTTAATTAGCCTAAGCTAAAATGGTATGCACCTTTACAGGAAACCAGCCCCCGAGAAGCAATATGGACGATCAGGACAATACTCAACTCCTAGAAAGTGACCTCAATGACGTCCAAACAATGCTGACAAATCTTTTCGTTGGTGGTGCAACAATAACAATCAGACACCTCAGATGATGAAAGAACACTTAGTAGGTATGCAACCCAACCTGAAGAACAATTTCATATCCCGGCTGAAGCCAGATGAAGGCATTCCAAGCATAATACTTCACGAGCTGCCGAGAGACCCATGGAATCTGCTCGGACGATCGAGCTGGAAGAAAGAACAAGAGTTTTAGAAATGGCCACGAGAAAAATCCTCTCTCGGTTGATCCCTGATGACCCCTTAATTCCCCTATTGAATAGGGGTGAACAGCCGGCAGCAGTAGTTGCAACCCGCAACTCCCCAGCCTTGAGCAATGTAGTGATCCCAACTAGATCAAGAGAAAGTGGGAAGTTAAATCCAGAACCAAGCTCGTCTAGGCACAATGAAGAATTGCTAAAGAAGAATGCTGATCTTGAGAGACAACTTAAAGATGTACAGAAGTCTATTGACGAGCTGAAAAGTCCCAGGTCGCGCCAACAGGCTCTCGACCTAGATAGTGCTCCTCTCAACTTATCCATCATTGCTAAACCATATCAAAAGGGATTTAAGATTCCTCATTGGGAGACATACGATGGCTCGGGAGACCTGAATGAACATTTGCATACTTATCAGACTATCATGAGAATCCAGAATGCCACCAACGCTATGATGTGCAAAGTCATTCCCGTGACATTGAAATCAACTGCCAGAAGATGGTACCACAAGTTACCCAGACATTCTATAGCCTCCTATTCTGAGCTTGCCACTCTGTTTTTAAACAAATTTGCGAGTCAAAGGAAAATTAAGCGCACCGCTACGGAGCTGATGCAGGTTCATCAAAAGAAGGGAGAATCTTTGAAGGACTATATGCAGCAGTTCAACAAGTCCACTCTGGGCATTGATAATGTCCCTGATAGCATCTGCTTATCTACTTTGTTGCATGGTCTCAAACTTGGCCGGTTCCTGGACGACTTATTAGAGAATCTGCCTAAGTGGTGGAATGAAGTAAATGACAGGTCGGCAAGTTTCATATTGTCCGAAGACTTTCAATCCTCTAAATGACGAGTTGACGACAGATAGGGGAAAGAGCATAGACAGCCTGAGGGAAGGGATGAAAAGAAAAAACAAAAAGTTGGCGAGCAGAGAGGAAAACCACCCTCATTTCCAAAATATGACAGTTACATTCCACTAAACTCGTCAAGGTCCCAGATATTGACACAAACACAACATTGGGTCAAGAGATCCCCTCCCCAAACACATGATTCCTCACAAGTTGACAGGAGTAAGTATTGTGACTACCACCGTGGATATGACCACAACATGAAAGACTATCAAAGCCTGAAAGACGAGCTGGAATTTTTAGCCTGCAATGGAAAATTGGAGGGATATGTACAGAAACCTTATGCCCAGCAGCCCAATCAGACCCATTTTGTGCAAAAGTATGGCCGATCTCAGGCGCAAGGATATCAGTTCGGCAACAATCAAATTCTTTACCAAGCGAGTCAATACTCATTCGAACCTAACAGAACTTATAGAGGATGCCCGTTCAATTGACGAGGGCAAGGACAAAAAGCATCCGCACATAATCAAAAAGACCACAGAGGGGTTGGTTACAGTGGGATACTCCCACCATCTGGCACAATCAACATGATTTCTGGCGGCATGCATTCAGGAGGCCAAAGTGCTCGAGGTTGTAAAGCTTATGCTCGTCAAGTGATGGTGGTAAATAAGAATAGACCTCTGAAACGACCTTTTGAAGAAGCAGAATGGGAAAATGCACCAATTACATTCAACCCGGCTGATTACAAACGGTCAGAGGAAGAACTACACGTTATGATGCCCCATGTTGACCCCTTCGTGACAACAGTTCATATTGGCAATCATAACGTCAACAAGGTCTTTATAGACACGGTCAGCTCTCCTGACATCCTCTATTGGAGCTATTTCCAAAAGATGCAGTTAAACCCAAGTTCTTTGAGGAAGTATGAGTGGCCAATCTATGGATTTGACAATCAGCTTGTCCTTGTTGAAGGAGTAATTACCCTTGGCGGTAAATAAGAATAGACCTCTGAAACGACCTTTTGAAGAAGCATAATAGGAAAATGCACCAATTACATTCAGCTCAGTCGATTACAAACGGTCAGAGGAAGAACCAGACGTTATGATGCCCCATGTTGACCCCTTCGTGGCAACAGTTCATATTGGCAATTATAACGTCAACAAGGTCTTTATAGACACGGGCATCTCTCCTGACATCCTCTATTGGAGTTGTTTCCAGAAGATGCAGTTAAACCCGAGTTCTTTGAGGAAGTATAAAGAGCCAATATATGGATTTGACAATCAACCCATCCCTGTTGAAGGAGTAATTACCCTTCCCATCTACGTGGGCGTTGAACCACGGTTTAGGATGGTGTCAGTAGATTTCCTAGTGGTTAAGATGGAGTCAGCTTTTCATGCTATAATTGGAAGAGTTACACTTTGCGAATTGAAAGTTGTTATCTCTCAACCACATCTCTGTATGAAGTTTCTAACCCTTAGGGTGTAGGTGTGCTCAAAGGAAACCAAAAAATCAGAAAATGGCCAGAACCTACTATCAAGATACTTTTAAAAAGGTCAAGCTCACAGTAGCACCCAAGACCCTAGCTCCAAACGTTTCTAGACCAAGCCAACCAGGTCAACAGATAATGAGCATATCTAACATAGATCATCAACCTAAGAATGTGGAGCAGAAAGCCGAGCCAGTAGAACCGATTGAGACAGTTCCTTTAAGCCTAGATGAACCAGATAAAACAGTAAAAATAGGAACCAAACTCACACCGGAAGAAAAAATCCAGCTCCTGCAATTTTTGAAAGCTAATAGGGATGTATTTGCGTGGACAACAAATGAAATGCCTGGCATACCAACAGAGTTCGTAGTACACAAGCTCAGTACGGATTCCACCAGGAAGCCAATGGTTCAAAAGCGTCGCCTTATAGGCCTTGAGAAGCAAGCAGTCATAGATGAGGAAATAAGGAAACTATTACAGGTAGGCTTCATCAGGAGAGTTGAATATTCCGAGTGGTTATCCAACCTGTTGCTCATCAAAAAACCCAACGGCAAGTGGAGAATGTGTATCGACTTCACCAATTTGAATGAAGCGTGTCCCAAAACCCACACCCCTTGCCTAATGTGGAAAAATTAGTAGAACGAGCAGCAGGACATGAACTCATGAGCTTCCTTGATGCTAGCTCGGGGTATCATCAGGTTCAGTTGCTGTTAGATGACCAAGAAAAAATGGCATTTTACGCGGGGGACGCGGTTTACTATTATGTAATGATGCCATTTGGCTTGAAGAATGCTGGCGCGACATACCAAAAATTGGTCCAAGTCGTCTTTAAGCTGCAAATTGGTCGGAATATTGAAGTATATGTGGACGATATGACTGTCACCAGTCTCCGAGCTGAAGACCATGTTGATGACCTAAATGAGACATTTCGAGATTTACGACGGGCCTAGATGAAGTTAAACCCATTGAAATGTATGTTTGTTGTGGAATCAAGCAAATTTCTAGGATACGTGGTATCCAAGAAGGGGATCGAGGTGAACCCGACAAGGTTGAGGCTGTGCAGCATATGGAATCCCCTAAAACAATAAAGGATGTGCAGCATTTAACAGGTCGTCTTGCCGCTTTGCACAGATTTATCGCCAGTCGGTAGAAAAGTGCCTTCCATTCTTCAAAGCTTTGCGAGAGCCAAAGCACTTCCAGTGGATTGATTAATGTGAACAAGCTTTCGAGGAACTCAAACAATATCTGGCATCAACACCTTTGCTATCCAAGCCTATCGAGGGGGAGACATTATATCTATATCTGGGGGTCGCAGATGAGGCAGTCAGTTCAGTCCTCTTAAGAGAGCAAGATAAACAGCAGAAACCCATCTGTTACACAAGTAAAGTCTTGCAGGGTGTTGAGCGGAATTATCCAATAGCTGAAAAAGTTGCTTTTGCACTCGTATGCACCACTCGAAAGCTAAGAGCATATTTTCAATCCCATGAGATTGTTGTGTACACCGACCTATCATTGCGAAAGATACTACAAAAACCAAAACTATCTGGTCGGCTGATTGGATGGCCAGTCAAGCTAAGCGAGTATGACTTCAAATTTCAGCCGCGCACAACCTTCAAGGGCCAAGTTTTAGCAGATTTCCTGGTTGAATGTAAACCGGCAACTACAGAGGAAACCACATAGCCATGCCTTGTATGGGCTCTATATGTAGATGGGGCAGCTAATGTTGAAGGGTCGAGAGCAGGAGCAGTGCTGCTGGGTCTAGATGGTTTCAAATCTGAGCATTCCCTGAGGTTTAAATTTCAAACAACAAATAATGCTGCCAAATATGAAGTACTCATTTATGGTCTAAAATTGGCGTCCGAGCGAATAGTACAGAGCGTAAGAGTTTTTAGTGACTCTCAGCTCGCAGTAAATCAAGTAAATGGAAGCTGTGACATCAAAGCCCTCAACTCGGTCGATACCTGTCTATGGTCAATAAATTGAAATCAAACTTTATCTCGTTCCAAATTGAAAAGATACCTAGGGCAGATAACCGACGAGCTGATGAGTTATTAAAGTTAGCTTCCTCACAAGACATCAACCCTCAGAGGACCACGGTAGTTGAAGTACTAGACGCACTGAGCTATACCGGTCTAGTAGTCGAGTGTCAAGTATTGAGCACAGATCCCTCCTCACCGAGTTAGACTACACCTCTGATTAAGTACTTACAAACCGGTGAACTGCTAGAGGATTCATCTGACGCTCGGTTGATCTGACGCAGAGCAGCACATTTTACACTGATTGAAGATCATTTATACAAGCAAGCAACTTCAATGCCTTTATTACGCTGCCTCACTTCTTATGAGGCTAAATATGCTATAAGAGAGGTTCATGAAGGAGTGTGTGGCACACACATTGGAGGAAAAACCCTGGCTAGGAAGATCTTAAGGCATGGATACTACTGGCTTACCATGGTTGAGGATGCCCAAAATTATGTCAAAAAATGTCCAACCTACCAGTTCAATGCTAATGACATTCACATTCCAGGTACTTGAGCTCGTTCTAAAGTTTACACAAATTCCACATTTGTCTATAAACTAAACGTGAAAGTCTCTTTTGGCACAGCCGAGAGGCTATCATCCCTCATATCACTCTGGCCTTTCGCCCAATGGGGAGTAGATTTGCTCGGCCCTTTCAAAAAAGGCAAGGGAGGTTGCACATATCTTATAGTTGCTGTGGACTACTTGACTAAGTGGATAGAAGCCAAATCGCTATCCACGATGACTGAAAAGAAAATAGAGGAATTCCTCTTCAATTCCATACTGTGTAGGTACACATATTTTAAAACACGCATGTAGTATACACGTAAGCATTTGTGCCTTAGTCAATCCGTTTGTACGTAGGTTTGGAATTCCTATGCGAATAATCGCTGATAATGGACCTCAATTATGAGCAGCAGCACTCAGGTCGTTTTGTGATGACTATAACATCGAGCTGACCCTCACTTCTGTATATACACCGTAGTCAAATGGACAAGCAGAGTCAGCGAATAAAATTGTTTTACGAGGTCTTAAGACGCGAGTTTTGGTGACACAGTCTAATTGGGTTGACGAGCTTAACAAAGTTCCATGGACATGTCGCACCACACCCAGCTCGGCCACGGGTGAAACCCCATTCTGCCTCGCCTATGGAGCCGAGGTTGTAATCCCAATGGAAGTTGGTTTGTCATCCAATGGGTCAGCTCGTTACAATGATTATGATAATGAACAACTCTTGAGAGAAAATCTAGACTTTGTCAAGGAGGTTAGGGAGATCTCCCGAATAAAAAACATGACCTATCAGAACCGTGTGGCTAGATTTTACAATAAAAGGGTGCGAGCTCGGCAATTTCAAGTTGGTGACTTGGTTTTACACAAGGTTGGGCTCACTAATGCTTACTCACATATGGGTAAGCTCACTCCGAACTGGGAAGGTCCTTATATGGTTATTTGTGTTAAGCGACCTGGGTCTTACCTGTTAGTAGATCTACAAGGTTATCAGTTGCCATTTGTTTGGAACATACATAGCCTTAGGAAGTTTTACAATTAATGTGTATGTTATTATTTTATCAACGAACTGTATTTGGAAATGTAAAGAATGTGCACAGCTCAATAAATGCAGAAATTTCAAAGAAAAATCTCCAAATTTGTATTTCTATTAAAATTTTTTACACTTGAAGTACAGGAGATGGTAATCCAAATGACAAATTGATCAAACGACCAATACAAAAATACAAAAAAGAAAAAAGATCCTAAACTAATCGTCTGTCAGGTAGACGGCGATGGACTTGTCAGTGGGCGCAGTAGTAGCTCGAGCAGGAGATGACCGAGCTGGAGATGGGAGAGTTGCTGGAGCGATGGCGGGCTGAGAGGTCGGGGGAGTGCTGGATGGCTCAACTTGGACTTCAAAGGGCTCTGCCACCCAAGCATCAAAACTTGGTAGGCCCTCAGTATCCTCCCCCTCTTCTACAATTGAAGGAGGCCACATTGGCACTCCTTCTTCATTGCGTTCCCATTTCAGCCTCACGGTGGCATCAGTTGGAGGAGCGAGGCTCTTTCCTTGATCGTCCATTTCCTCCCCCTCGAAGAAGGCCAACTTGCCGATTGGAAAGTCTACCCGGTGTCGCAGCACCTTCCCATGAATCTCGTTGTAGATGTCCATGGTAGTGTAGGCTGCGGCAATTGCTACAACGTTCTGGAACATGTCTGCTCCAACCAGCCACTCAGCTCCTTGTGCCCAAGTGAAGCAAATAGCGTGCTGGTGGTGCTTCTTGCTTTGCTCCAAGGACGCCTCAGCCCAAGCGACATGCTTGTCAGCTTCTGCAACCCTATCTTTCAGGGAGTTCAGCTCGTGAAGAGCCTTCTCCCTGTTCGATTCAGCCCTTTTGGCTCGGTCTTCAGCACGACCGGCCTCATCCTTGGTAGCTTGAATGACGCTCTCCTTCTTGGCTTGAGCCTTCTCCAACTCCTCTCTCAACTCATTGACCTTGCGGGCTAACTCGTTAGCACGGCTCTCTACAGACACAACTCCGTTGGCCATCTCCGAGCTTTGCAAATGGTCGACCTCATCCTCCAAACTAGCCTTCTCAAAGGCCAATTGTTTGCAGCTCTACTGGAGCTCGCGGTTCTGCACGCGCGTTCGTTGTTCGCACTCAAAGAGTGCTACTATATAGCTGAACGCCTGCCATATGAATTTAATTATTAGTTTCTAACATGAACTTTTAATGATACAACCAATGTGCTTGTTGAGAATACTTACGTCCATCAGCTTTAATAAAGCAGCATAACCCCCATGTTGCTGGACATGCCCCTTTCGCACATTGCCGATCTGCAAGGGGCACAAAACTCTACATACCTTACACCATAGTGGCCTGACAGTCAGTTCTGACATAACTGAAGCCTTCAGGATATGCAATTCTTGGCCCCGATACAGACGACAAGGTAGGCACTGGTTTAGCAACCTCACGTGCCAGAGCCGGGGGCACGTTGGTAGACCACGTCGCAGCGGCTGAAGCGGGCTGGGCTCCCGAGATTGTCCTCCGCCGAATGAGGGGAATGTCATCCTCAGCGTCAGAGTCATCTCGCGCATGCGTTCTAGAACTTAAGGGCGTAGTTTCAACTCTTTGCTCGGCACCGGGTCTCGATGCCGAGCTCGAACTTCTGTGGGACAAACTGCGCCCCGTTGTTGCAGGCAACTGCTCATCAAAATGAGTTTGCCGTTGGGAATCGAACCCAACTCCATGGTTCCTTAAGCTTTGAGCTCACTGACGTTGCCTTTCTAAGATGCAGCTCATTTCTCTTGCACAAACAAATGCATAAGACTCATATCAATTAGAAACTACAATATGCAATAGAAATATACCTTCGGCGTACAGATTTGCCACGTCGACAGACCCAAGTAATGCGAGTTGCTCCGGGGTAACCAGGGTTTCTAAATCTACTAAAGCCTCAGCTTTAACATAATCTAGCAGTCGATTCTTCCAATCGACATCACCAAGAGCCAGCTGAGGGTAGTTCATGTACGTATTGGGCATACGCCACTCTGATATACAGGCAACGAGCTCATTATTCATCTTCTCTGTTCGCGTGTCATGAACGAAAATGAACTGCCTTTTCCACCTCGTCACCTTATTTCTGATGTTTGTAAAAATCATCATCTTTTCCCTTCCGGAGATAACATACCACATCGTTTCGGTTGTGGAAGGGCACATGCAACACAAGAAGAGCGACCTAAAGGCTATCGCCTTCACGGGTATCTCCAACCTCTCACACAACAATATAAAGCCTATAATGAACTTTATGCTGTTGGGAGTCAGCTACGTCAAAGCTAGCTCATACTCTGCTAGGATGTCAAAAATTAGATCGGGCGGAGGGAAGCGTAGACCGACGTCAAAATGGTCTACGTAGACTAGCACCCAGCCCATCCTCGATACTGTGCACGCCCTCTTGTTTTGGGTCCCAGCTCGAAGTAAAATGGTCTTAGGGATTTGGTAGTGCCTCACCATTTCCTCTAACTTCTTATACCCTTTCACTGTGGCCGAGCTGTCTGCAACTTCGTGATGTAGTGCCGCCCTGGACCTAAAACTAGCAGGGAGAGTTTTCGGTGCTTTACGGAGGTTATCCAATCTCCCCCTGATAACCTTATTCTCCCATTTTTCCAATACAACCACTTCCAACTCTGTATTTGCCGTCGGTGGACTTAAAGCGCCTCCTTCAACATCCCTCATGTCATTGGGTGTCCCCTCTATAGACGATCACTGGAAGTTGAAGAACAATGGTTGCCAGAAGCACCATCGGCGCTCGAGTTAGTGCTGCTTCCCAGCGCGATGGTTTCGGGTACATCCTGTAGTTCTGGCGGCACTATCATGGCAATTGGTTCCACCAATATAACACCCTCTTCTTCTTCCCTCCCCTGATTACCCCGAAGCTCTCTTACATCGTGAAAAGAAGCCATTTTTACTTGAGTTTTAGAAAGCTGGTTTCCTTTCGCTGTAGAAGCCTAAGGAGTGAGCTTGAAACGCCTCTGCAACCTTCGCTATGAAAAATGACAAACGGTACTATGCAATGAAATAGAGGGGCTAAGTGAACATTTATGTTGCCTTTCTCACTCCTGTAAATGTCGTACGTGTGTTTCTAGACCCCCAATTAAACGCATACACGTGGCAGTCATTTACGGTTGAGCGCACAAAACTCGCCGCCTGCAGCTGTCACGTCCCCTCAAATGCTGAGCCAGCATTTATTGCGGGAAGGCAGAAGGATATCTTCCATTGGTAGAAGACTACCAAACGCCTTGAGCATATCTCCTCAGAGATTTGCCTTATTTTAAAATTTGAAAAATCTCAAAGGTTCAGGTTGTAACAAATCCTAGATTCACCTCAGTTTAAAATTTGAAAAATCTCAATGATTCAGGTCGTAACAAATCAGAGATTCACTTCAGTTTTGAATATCGAAGAATACCATACGTTAGATCATTACCAATTCCTTCAGATTTGTTCTGTATCCCAGAGATCTACATTATAGTGACGATTGACGTCACTTATTTCAGTTCGTCTTGGTATTCACATTCTATCAGTGTTGTTTTAGCTTATTCTCTTAATAGCAGGACGACCTCAATATATAAAATCTTTAAAGGCTGGAATGGCTTAGCTCGTCCATCGTCTGCTCGCCTTCACGCTACTATAGGCAAGCTCGTTACATAATGTATTGTACCTTACATACGATGCACGCTTGGCCAAGAGACCTTACTTCGTCTCAAATCTACCTCATTTGGAAATAGGAAATCCATCATAGGAGCTCGCCTCTACAAGCTCATTGAACTCGTTGGCGAACACCGAACTTGTACAACTTGTTTCAACAACAGCTTCCCTACACATATTCGATATGAAGGAGGCATATCTGTACACACCCGACGAGGCCGCCTAGTTCAACCAGGGGCGAGATCACTCATTAAAATCCAAATGGGTTTACCCCTCACCTCCCATATAGAATGTTGGGCCAATAGAACCTTCAACCCAGCTCGTCAACCGAACACTGAGAGGGGAGTAATGTTGGGATTGAGCCCAACATTCAATCTGGGCCGTGTCCAACAGGCCTAGTCGCACATCCACGAGGCCCTAATTGATGAGACATACTCACATGGGCAATGACACGTGGGCCAAGGGGATGCACGCACTGTAGACTCATGTCAGTATATTGGGCTACAAATACCCCCAACAACCTCTATGCAAGGTATTAACTCCACTACGCTTCTCTCTCTGCAATTACTTTCTGTGAGCTTCTCTCTCTAGAATACTGAGTATTGCTAACTTGAGCGTCGGAGTGTTTTTCCCAAGAAAACGTCCTCGGGAATTTCAAGTGTTGAATTAGTCGAAGGTATCAACAGTGTTGAATCGCAGCTGCCCAAACAACTGCAAAACTACATAGCATTTTCACTCTTAATATCAATCTACTTATTTCAAAAATGGGAATTTAAATAAATAAATTGAGAAATCCGGGAAATTTCTAAGAAATCTTTGTAGTAGGAAAACTATGTAAAGGAAAGAAAAAGGCAGAACCTGGTAAAATTGATGAAATTGTTGAACCCTAAGTGAAATGTCGAACACATTTGTCGAATCAATCCCGAAGCTCTAGAGAGCTTTACCGCCATGGCCAAGTGTTTATAGCTGCCATAGTGCCTTGAACATGGTTAATTTGGGGAAAGGCAAGTTGTTAATTAAAACTGGACTTATTATTATTATTATTTCTTAACCGAAAACATCTTACATAGGTTTGAACCCTCAGAAAGAAAGCTTTTTTTTTTTTTTTCTTTTTTGTTTTAACCAATCTCGTATTTAGAAGTTACATTATATTTTAATTAATTCAAAATCGAAATATATCAAATTTTAAAAAGGAAACTTTTTTAGTATTTTTTTATTTATAAAATTTAAATTTAAAATCTTATTTAAAAAAATTAAGATATTTTTACTTGAGCCAACGTTCAAATCATTGATGAGAAAAGCTTTTTATATTAGAGAATTGTGCAATTGGCAAGCCTTCCTCGATCCTTTATAAATCATAATAATTTTTATGTATTATTGTTAAGGGAAAGGAAAAAATTATAATATCTTAATGTTAAAACATTAAAATGTCCAATCACATGTTTTTATTTTTTATTTTTTATTAAATAAATAAGTATATAAAGATTGAGGGTACATATATTTGAATATCATACCTTTGTTGCAAGTAGATTACTAGATGCAATATCCATTTGATAGTCTCCTTGAAATAATCAACAAGGGGTGGATTATGCAGCAAAAATTGAATTGCACAATTCATGAAACAAAAATTTCCATTGCATGGTACTCTCAAACCCAATCCATGTCCCAAGTAATATCTAGTCATAATCCTAGACAAGGATTAGTTAATTTTAACAAGGAAAACAAGGCTATATACAGTTTGACAAAAATAAATGTTACAAAAACATACCTTTGCTAAGATAATCATCACTGTCAAAATGTTCTATCTCACAACTACAATTGTTGTCTATTAAGGCATTTCCTCACCTTTTTCAAATTTCTTGTAATTTCTTCAAATTATTTATCTGAGTTTCTAATTGAAAAATTATGGGTTGTCTTTCTTTGAATTCTTCATATCCCTGTGCTTGCTAAATAGAGAAAGCATGAACAATTTTCCCCAAATGATCCATTGCAAATTTCACATTGTAGTTCATTGTAAGACAACTAAGGTGAAGAGAACCATGCTTTCAGACTTCAAATGCTTGGATGAGGAATGGAAAGGAAGTGTGTCATTCAAACCCATTGTGCCATCTTATTTGGATTATATAGCTTGTGGGATCAATAATGATATTACCGCAAACAAGAAGGTTGTCAATCTTGCAGTGGGATATATATTGGTTTTGTTATTAATATATATGTAAACCACATCCAATTATATTAAATATTGTTTTGGATTTACTACTATAAATAAATTAATATAAATATAAATTTAAGAGATAACTTTATAATAATTTTTTTTAATTAATAAATATAAAAAATGTACATAACAACTTTAACAGCTTAACTTTAAAATTGTGTTGAAGCTTTCTATTCTTTAAATAAAATATATGAGCTTTCTTAAATATTTTATAACAATATAAAATCCATACAATTTCACACTAGCTGGCCATTTTCTCATTGTTTTTTTTTTTTTTAAGTCTTATCCCCTAATCTCTTTACTTTTTTTTTTCCCCATAACCAACGTTCCTAGTTCTCACTCTTGCTTCGTTTCTTCCTCCCGTCCAACCACTCCGATGACGTCATGGATTCCAATCAAACTTTTTTTTTTTTCAATTCTCTCCTGTAATTTCCATTTCATTCTAAATCTAAAGTAAAAAAAAAAAAATTTCCTTTTTCACCAACTTCTCAATTTCTACTTTCTTTTACTTTTTTTTTTTTTAATTCTTTCTCCAAGTCTAGGTTTTTTATCAAGATTCTAGAAACAAATTAAACACTTGAGTGGAATAAGTAGAGGGAACTTCTTCAAAAACCAGCCAATCCCTTCATTGGTGAGTATCCAAGGAGCGTGCATTCCATATTTGATTATGTTTTTCATTTTTCTGCTTCTCTTGGTGTGAAAAATTCACATATCTATTTTTTTTTTTTTTTATTTTTTTTTTTTTTTAGCGTGAAAGTTGGTATATACATGTCCGGACTAAAAATCTATTACACAATATTCCAACTAGTACAACCATTTTCAACAGGCATGGCCAAGATTGAAAGCGTTACAATATTAGAAGATTTATGTGTCGAATTTGTGTCAAAATCGATACATATGGATTTTACCGAGTGGTACAGTATGAGATTTACAACTGTGGCAAACACTACCTTTTGTTGTTGTACTACAGTTCTGGTTACTATTGAAAATCCTGCATGTGGGCTCAATACAAGGCTTGCATCCAACCTAAAACCAATTGGCGATAAGTGGAGTAGCCCTCCTTGTAAAAATACTCGATGTGGGATTTTCCCACTTAACACGCCCCCTCACGTGCAGGCCCACTATGAATGTCGAGTCCTGTCACGTGGGTTAACACGCCCCCTTAAATGCAGGCCCGGTATCAACTTTGGGTCATGTCAGGTGGGCTAACAATAAGCTTCCCATGGTAGAACCTGGTCTCTGATACCATATTGAAAATCCTGCATGTGGGCTCAATACAAGGCTTGCATCTAACCTAAAACCAATTGACGATAGGTGGAGTAGCCCTCCTTGTATTTAACCCACAAGCTTCTTATTTTTATACTCGATGTGGGATTTTCCCACTTAACAGTTACATGCATTTTTTTCTATGTAGTAATTGAAGAAATGCATAATTTGAAACTCCATGACATCGATGAGGATGTGATGTTGAAATGGCGAGTGGTGATCAATGATTGTCTATTTTTGAATTTAACCGTGGAGTTTAATTGCAATGGATCATTGAAGGAAAATTGCATATGCTTTAATTTGAAGGCATTGGCAAATGTAAGTTACGTTGGATAACTTAAATAAGTCAGAAGAGTCAAAAGAGTTTTGGTATTAAACTATGCAATATTTGTTTATGTGATAGTACATAATCTTTTGATACTCATCTTTTTAATGAATGTATTTTTTATTAGTATCTTAACGTGTTAGAAAAAACCTAAAATAGTATAAAAAAATTTGTTTTTGAACTATTTTGGTGGTGTAGCCTTTCATTGCTATCTACCAAGAGGAAATGTTATATATTTTAAATATATAATGGATTATATATATTAATTTATTTAATATCTCATTATATTATATAATATACAATTTGACATAATAGTTGTTGTGGCATTGTCATTTTTACTTGATCATAAAGTTCAACACTTCACTATATACACTTCACTATATACCTCAAAAGGAGGTGATTTAACTAGTTAAAGGTATAAAATTTTAAATTAAAAATTTTATATTCAAATGTTAAATTGGGTTGTGAAAGATTTGAAAAAAAGAACATGTCAAGGGAATTTAAAATAAGGGGGAGTTGTATTAGTAATAAACCTCAACACTGAATCCATAAAATTCAATGAAAATAAATTTATATCAACTGATATAACTTATGACAAATGAATATATAAACCATCCAACACTAACAGTAGCAACACACATACACCAACAAATTATTTATTAAAAGGAAAAAAACCCTAAGAAATTATAACAAACGAAAGAGTACAATAGTCCACACAGCATGTAGCTTAACTACATTCCTAATTTATAAAAAAAGTGGTCTCATTCATCTTCAAATTGAATGTAGATAGAAAACCTGATAACACATAACCTGATAACACATTCACATTTCTTCAAGTTCTTTATTAAACCTCGTAGCCTGTCACATTGTTATATAATATTCCATTATGCCAACAAAATATCATCAATAAAAGACAAAGCAAACGGATTCAAAAGTTTATCACAAAGAGTAGAACACAAAGGATAAAAATTGTTTTTGTTGAGAGAGAAGGTAGACTAGAAAAGATAAATACAAATGAGACATACCTAGAACTATGATAAATATCCAAGCAACTCAGCCCTTTATCCCATGTCCATCTCCAATCAAATCTCCCAAACTTATCATTGAATATGGCTTTGGCAATGGAAATGGTCGACCACTTGTAAGAGCCTGATAAACCTGTTGCATAGTGGGGCGAAATTGAGGATTGGAATGCAAACATGTAAATGCTAGTTTTGTGGTAGCAACCACTTGCTCTGCCACCTTATTCCTCCTTTGAGGTTTAAGGCATTGGTCTATGACATCCTTCAGCAACATCTGCTGGCCATTTGGTGTCCATAAATATGAAATAAGATCACCTGGATGCCTTCCCATAATTATCTCCATTGTTACCACTCCAAAACTATAGACATCACATTTTTCACTTACTTGCATCGTGTAAGCAAGCTCTGCAGAGGCAAGTCTAGTTTGTTATAAAACAATATAATAATTACTACAGTTTTTTAGAAGATATGAAATGAATGAAATACCTGGAGCTGTGTAGCCAAATGTGCCTGCAAAGGATGTCCAGTTAGAGGAATCCGGCTTCAAAATCCTAGCAGTGCCAAAGTCTGAGACATGAGCTTCATAATCCAAATCTAACAAAACATTGTTGCTAGAAATGTCACGATGGATTATTGGTGAAGGGCGATCATGGTGCATGTAAGATAAAGCACTAGCTAACCCTTTAACAATGTTCAATCTCTTATCCCAATCCAACTCTGTTGCTTCTTCTGGGTTGCTCAAAACTGTTCTCAAGCTCCCTCTTTCAACAAATTCATAAACCAGTAATGAGTGCTCCGGGTTAGAACAAAAACCATAAAACTTCACAATGTTGCGATGTCTTATGTCGATCAGAACACGAATCTCTCTTTCAAATGCCCGCAACTTAACGTACTGGTTGTCATCTGGTGGATGAAGTTTCTTCACAGCGACCACCTGGCCTGTTGCTAGCACAGCTTTGTAAACATTTCCATATCCTCCTGAGCCAATGCAATAGTTTGAGTTGAAATGCTCTGTAGCTTCAAGAATGTTTTCATAAAGGATTTTCCCATCATATCCCCAAATGGCAAAAATATCGTGATATTGTCCCTCTCTTGGCTTGTATTTTTTGTTTTGAACAAGAAGTAAACACCCCACCAAGATAAATAACAAAACTAGACCACAGAAAATAGGTACAACAATTAAAATCACAGGTCTACTTGAGCTTTTGCTTTGATTGTTGGATACACAAGGAACTAGGCCAGGGACATTGCCACAAAGGCCTTTATTGTTTCTGAGAGCATCAAAAGGAGCATTAAGGAAGGCTTTGATGCCAGGGATAGGACCCTCCAACTGATTGTAGGAGATGCTGACATTTGTTAAGCTCAGCATACCATCAAAAACAGAAGCAATGGAACCAGAAAGCATGTTGTGAGAAAGATTTAGTAATTCTAACATATGCAAACTTCCAAGTTCCTGTGGAATCTCGCCTGCTAGCATATTCCAACTCAAATCAAGAGTCTGTAGACCGAGTATGCTCTGCATTTCAAAAGGAATACGATCTCCAAGTTGGTTCATACTCAAGTTCAAGCTTAGTAACCTAAGGCACTTTCCAAGTTGCGTTGGAATCGGCCCATAAAGATTGTTTGTGGCCAAATTGAGTTGTTGCAAATTGAGTAGTTGCCCTATCTCTAAAGGGATTCTGCCAATGAGTTGGTTATCATTTAGCAAGAGATAGACCAATGATGTCAACCTGCCTAATTCCTTCGGAATCTCGCCACTCAGATGATTTGAAGAGAGATCAAGACGTTGTAATTGAGTGGCATGAGCTAGCTCAGGAGGTATCCTTCCAGAAATGTAATTATTGGAGATTTTCATGCTTGTTAGATTATGACACAACCCCCACTTTGGGGAAAGTTCACCATAAAACTTGTTATCACTCAAATCAATAAAATCCAAGTTGCCACACATATCAAAAATTTCTGTTGTCCCTTCAAGTTGATTCTCGTCAAACCTTACTCTATATAAGTTGGTGCAATTTCTCAAACTTCTTGAGATGGAACCCGTCAAATAATTTCCTCTCACCGACAAAGATTCCAATAATCCTCCGTGGCAAATATTCTCAGGTAAATGACCATTGAGTTTGTTATCACCCAGTTGCAAAATTTCAAGAAGAATAAGGTTACTCATTTCCAAAGGAATAGGGCCAGATAAATAGTTTCTTCCAAGGTATAACCCAAGAATTTTTGTTAGATTTCCAATTGAAGTAGGAATCAAACCAGAGAAGCTATTATTGGATAAATCTATATTCTCAAGATATTTAAGTAATCCTACCTTAGAAGGAATTGAGCCAGAAAGCATGTTATCATTGAGAAAAAGATCAGATAGGGAGCTCAAGTTTCCTATGGAATCAGGGATTGAACCAGAAATTTTATTATCAGACAATTCAAGTCTCGTGAGAGATTTAACTAATCTCATCACTGAAGGTATTGAGCCAGAAAGCATGTTATAATAGAGAGAAAGAATAGATAGATTGCTCAAGTTTCCTATGGAAGTAGGGATTGAGCCAAAGAAACTGTTATTAGACAAATCAAGGTGAGTGAGAGACTTAAGCAATCCTACCTCAGAAGGTATTAAGTTAGAGAGCATGTTATTAGAGAGATCAAGAAGAGATATGTTGGTCAGGTTTCCTATGGAAAAAGGGATTAAACCAGAAAGAGCATTGTCATTAAGGTAAAGTTCAGTGAGAGATTTAAGATATCCTACCTCAAAAGGTATTGAGTTAGAGAGCATGTTATTAGAGAGATCAATAATAGATGGGTTGCTCAGGTTTCCCATGGAAGTAGGGATCAAACCAGAAAGAGCATTGCCATAAAGGTAAAGTTCAGTGAGAGATTTAAGCAATCCTACCTCAGAAGGTATTGAGTAAGAAAGCAAGTTATTAGAGAGATCAAGAATGGATAGGTTTCTCAAGTTTTCTATGGAAATAGGTATTGAACCAGAGAGCTCATTATTATAAAGATAAAGTTCTCTTAAATTGCTTGAATTACCTATTGATGCAGGGATCGAACCGGTCAAGGAGTTTATTGAAAAACTAAGTAAAACAAGACATCTCATCATTCCAACTTCCTGAGGTATTGAACCACTGAGTCTATTGTTCTTGATGCGAAGATCAAACAAATTACTCATATTTCCTATAGAAACAGGAATTGAACCAGTAAAATAGTTCTCTTTGAGGTAGAGTTTAGAAAGGAGACTCAACCTTCCTATATCCTTAGGAATAGAGCCACTGATATGATTCCTACTAATTGAAAAGAAGTTCAGACTCGACAGCAATCCTATATTAGAAGGAATATTCCCAGAAAAGTTATTGTAAGACAAATCAAGATAAGTGAGTTTGGACAGGTTAACGATGTGGGAAGGAATTGCCCCATGAAGTGAGTTATTGCTAAGATTGAGCTGCATTAGGTCAGGGAAGGCAAAGAAATTAAGGCCATGAATTGTACCTTTAAGACCATAATCACGAAGGGTTATGTTGACGATGCTTCCAGCTTTATTACAAGCAATTCCAACCCATTTGCAAAGATTGTCCCCAACCCAAGAAGAGAGGAAGCTTTGGCTGCGGTTGTCGAGACTGGTTTTCCATTTGAGAAGAGTTTCTGTCTGATTGAGAGAGAAATAAACAGTCGAAGAAACAGAAGTTGAAACAAGGAAAGATTGAAGCAGCAGGAGGATGAACAGAGCTGATGCCATAATACCAACTAGATTCAAAGTAACTTGGGGATAGAATGCATAGGCTTACATTGACAGGTATTTATACAAGTAAAAATGTTCACTTAGTGAGAAATAAGTGGGGCATAGTGGCAAAAGCTTCTTGACAAAACTCTCACAACTTGAGGTATGTCCGCTAGCGTAAGTCATTGTTAGTTCCTCTCCTTACCATTTTCCACTTTTATGCATTTTATCCTAGGAAAAGAAATTAAACAAAAATCGAGGAGTTGAATATTTCAACACAAATAAAGTCACAAATGAATTTTTGGACCGTTTCAATTGGTAGAAAAAAGGTGATATAAATTAGTATTTTTTCAATAATAGTTCTTCCTTCATTTCTTTTGTTTTTGGACGAATAACATTTTTTTCTTAATTTTTCTTGCTCGATTTTGTTTATATGGTAACATTTTCATATCTCTTAGAGCATATTGTAGGGGGTATTAGGTAATTAACAATTTGCAGCTATAAAAAGCAATATCCTTGATGTAAAAGTAAAAGGAATTGTTATAAATAATTTGCCCTACAAGATACTTAATTAAGGTCATTCATCAATTCAGCATTGTATAGCTACTTAGTGTAATGTAAAAGATCTCATACTGAACCAGGTCCCCCCACGAGAAATAGTATAGGTACTTCTATAATGCAATCTCTCACAAGTTACAAATGTTTTTTTTAGAAGATGACTCACATCACTGTCTGGACTATTTAGTGCATATCTCTTTGTGCCTTTAATTATAGGAATTTTCTAACTTGTGTTTTAGGCACAGATTAAACTTCATTTAATGCAATATTTGTAATTAATTTAACATAAAATTTTATAATACAATTAATTAAAATAAAATATAAAATATAAAATTAAAATATAATATAATATTTATACCTGAAATATGTGAAAAAAATAAGAATCTGATATAAAAATTTGTGTAATATGAATTACAAATATTTTAATTAATGATACTTAACCTATGCTCTAAGGATATATGTTAGACAAACCCTTAATTATATTGTTTTCGACCAATAATATTTGTCTTGGTTAATTTTCCTTTTTCGATTGCGTTTTTATCATATCTATTGATTTCTCCTAAAAGCATGTTGGCTTTTAACTGTCCAACACTAAATACCAAGGCCAAAAATGTAAATGATCCGATTCAGGAACTTTATCTTGTGGTGGACACCTCCCTCTGTCCTAAAAGATAGCCATTAAGTATACTCCAATTCAAATTCGATTGTTGCTACTGGGGGGGGGGGGGGGGAGGAGGGGGTTTTCAGATGATTCAAAAAAAATTGCTTGGGTTAATTGGGAAAAGATTTGTCTTGCAAAATCCAAAGGTGGTCTAGGTATCCCAAATTTAGCAAAGAGAAATACTGCTCTTCTGGGCAAATGGTGGAGCAAATTTCAAACTGCTGATGAGAGTAATAAATTGTGGAAAAAAATTATTGTTTGCAAATATTATGAGGGGGATTACAATGTTTTTATCTCCAACTGCACATCTTCTAAAATTTCTACTCTTTGGAAAGATATTTTATCAATTGGCAAGGAAAACGACAGAACAAAAATGTGTTTCACGGAGGGATTTCTCAAACAGATTGGTGATGGAACAAAAACCAGGTTTTGGACAGACAAATGTTTGGGCACTACCTCCTTAAAACAGGAATTTTCTCGGTTATACAATTTGTCCCTTGACGAAGAAGCATTGGTTGCTGATTACAAACCAACAAATTGTGAGGGATGGCAACTTAAATGGCGTCATGCACCATTTGGGAGAGAGCTAGATGAATACATGCAGCTAGAAAAGATCCTAAAATCTATTAACATACTCGGCAACAAGCCAGACAATTTTAATTGGGTTCATAGCTCATCTGGATACTCAGCAAAGCTAGCCTATAATTTTCTTGATGATTCTTCTCCTTGTCCTGATGGTAACAGTTGCAGCTTGATCTAGAATCCACTGGTGCCTTCAAAGATTAGTTTTTTAACTTGGTGCCTTCTCCTAAATCGTCTTGCTACAAAAGACAACCTGCTTATTAGAGGAGTGAACTTAACAGCTAATCCAAATTGTGTTTTCTGTGGTGCATATTTGGAGGATGCAAATCATGTCTTTGCCAAGTGTAGATGGTCTCAACACCTATGGAGTAGAATATGCTATTGGTGGGGGTTCTCTTTTGTCTCCCCTGACAATGCTTCCACAATACTCCATCAACTTAGCTTGATGCAAGTTCCCAGGAAAGCAAGAAGCTGTTGGAATCTTACAATCTCAACAACCGCTTGGGCCATTTGGCTTAGTAGAAACAATATTATTTTTGGCAAACAGTCTTGGGATGAAAATAGGTTGGTTGACTTAGTCTAAACTAAAACTTTCAGTTGGATCAAAGGTAAATCCATCTCTGCTAAGTTTAGTTTTGTGGACTGGTGTCAATTTCCAACCATCTGTGCAGTAAACTCTTAAAACCCTACTGGTCTTTTTTTTGGTGAAACGTATGCGTGAGTACCCCTTGTACTCACTTTTTTAATAAAATATTTTGATTCATCATAAAAAAAAATTCGATTGTTGTTGAAATCAAACCACCATTTATAAAAAAAGAATACCTCTCGACTGCCCTTCCTCTAAAACCATGATTATTGATCCATTTGATATAACATTCTGATAATTTACAAGCCCATATCTGCAGTTAACAATAGGTTAAATCCCCAATTTGGTTCCTGAACTATTGTACAGACCCTTGATTTGGTCCCTTAACTAAAAAAATCCCTAATTTAGTTCCTGAACTATTGTACGGACCCCCAATTTGGTCCTTATTGTTTACCAAATTGCGCCAAGTTGGTCCTTCTATACAAAAACAACTGACGTATCTTGTTATTAATGTGACACGTGGTCGTTAAGTTACTGTTTTCTGCCGTTAAGTTACTGTTATTTGTCGTTAACTACTAGACATGTCAGCTTTTTTTTGTACAAAAAGACTAATTTGGGGCAAATTGGTAAACAGTAAGGATCAAATCGGAGGTCCGTACAATAGTTTAGGGACCAAATCAGGGATTTTTTTTAGTTTAAGAACCAAATTGGAGGTTTGTACAATAATTTAGCGACCAAATTGGGGATTTATCCTTAATAATTTGTTATAGCAGAAGATTAAGTAATATGTCACTATAACGTACACATCACAGCAACATTGGTTGGACAAATTTGCGAAGATTAATCAAGTCAAGATTAAGAAATCTTTAAAAAAGTGTGGCTGTATGCATAACACTAGATGGAATCTTTTACTTATGTTTCGTCCCACAAGATGACTTAAGCTAGAAAAGCCATCCGATAAAAAGGACTTCATGACATGTCGAGACTGGAGTAGTGCATACATATACGACGGAAAGGAAACAATGCTACCACACGGAATTTGCAAAGATTACTAATGGGAGAAGTTTCTTGACAAAATTCTCA